CTTCGCACGGCGCCGTGCCTTGATCTGCTTAAACTAATAACCTCTTTTGGCAGTGGCTTTGACTTCGTCAAGCCGGCTGGGCACAGGCGGCGGCTGGGTGCCGATCACCGTTGGGCGCCGTAAATCCCTCTTGCCCACCCACTGGATTCGTGACTCTGCTCGTTCCTTGATGCCGAATCCCGGATCTTGGCATCTCATCAGCTGGAGCGATTGTCCTCCCCACCACCCAGTTTTAATCTCCTGTTTTTGGGCACGGCTCGAGGAAAGCAAAAGAGCAAAGATCGGCTCAATAGGACTCCCATCGTGTCCTGATAGCCAGCAAGCAGAAAAATATACCTGTTTGCCTTTCCGTTTTCTCCCATTAAAGTCCAGTTGATCACACACACACACACACACAGCGAAGGTTATCACAGGAGAGGCACACGCGGTTCGCTGGCATTGCGCAGGGCGATTTCTGTAGCTGAACGGCGCTGAATGTCTGGATCAGGATAATAGGAAGGAGACTGGAATAAAGTTTAACGTGCGGTTCATGGAGGCTTCTGATTTGAAACGCAGCGCTTGGCCCTCTTCTCCTCTGGCAAGGCTCGCCTTGTGTTCTCACGCCAAGGGTGGGAAGTCTAGATCAGAGGATGATGGAGTTGGACGGTGCACGGCGTGGGTGTGAAAGCCACGGAGTCCACCCCCACCCCCCGCTCAAGGCAGGAATTCAAATCCCAAGCAGATCTTGACAGATGGCGGTCCAGTTTTTCTCTTGACAGGGCCTCCCTCCGGTTTTGGAGCACTTCCCCACCTCTTGAAGACATTGGATCCGTTGTCATACTATTCTAACAGTTAGGAAGTTTTTTTTTCCCCCTGATGTTCAGCCGATATCTGGCTTCCTGTCGCTTGAGGTCATGATGACGTGTCCTTACGTGTCCTTGTTTGTTTGTTTATTTATTATTGCCTTTTTTGGTACTGTAAACCGCCCAGAGTAGATTCGTCTAGATGGGTGGTATAAAAGCCAAACGAATAAATAAGATCATATCAAAGCTAAAAACAGTAAATTATTCTATTTCCTTTTATTTTGCTCAAAACGCCTTCCCTGGCCGCATGTTTTTAGACCGAAACAGTGCGGGTGATTCCCATGCTGGAAATTCAGGCTCTAGGGGAAAAAAAGGTTTGCCACCTCCTTTGATAGTAGCCTTTCAAGTCACAATGGACTCTTTAACGTCTGCAATTTCTTTTTCCCTCCAGGACGTTGCTGCTCGTGGACTAGACCTGCCGAGAGTCACCTGGATTGTCCAGGTAGGTTTTTCTACACGCTCAGTTTTGTACAGTGCTGCTGAAATCAGGGGGCGGAGGTGCTTTGAATGACTTGTTTTGCTTAAAACCAGGTGTGCGAGGGTACACGCCTTGTTTTAAAAGAGAACTGCGTTTCCTAGGAAGTGCGATTGTCCTTTAAAGCAAGATGCATCCCGTTTGCACGCTTTGTTTTGAGCAAAGATTGAGTGCCTTTGACAACTTGTTTTCTTAAAACCAGCTGTGCGAGTATGCACGCCTTGTTTTAAAAGAGAACTGCGTTTCCTAGGAAGTGCGATTGTCCTTTAAAGCAAGATGCATCCCGTTTGCACGCTTTGTTTTGAGCAAAGATTGAGTGCCTTTGACAACTTGTTTTCTTAAAACCAGCTGTGCGAGTATGCACGCCTTGTTTTAAAAGAGAACTGCGTTTCCTAGGAAGTGCGATTGTCCTTTAAAGCAAGATGCATGCCGTTTGCACGCTTTGTTTTGAGCAAAAAGAATTGAGCGCGTGTTCTGTACGTCACTCAAAACACACTCTCCAGATCAAACCAAAAATTAACTGGAGGTCACCTTCCAGTTTTTGACACACACTCCCTTCCTATATTTCAACGTCTGGATGATATTTCTTCAGTATTTCCAAGATCCCAATGCTCCTTCTTTTAAGAAGAAGGTCAGAAGAAGTAGAGGCTGGTAACCCGTTGTCCACCTGTTATCCCCCACTGTTTTAACACATCTTAGCGCTGCGCCTGCAATAGAAATATGTAATGTGTGAATGGACCTTAAAATACAATGTGAATTGTGCTTGTTCGCTGGCAGTCCTCCTCGGAGTCCTGGATGTCAGGAAGCTGGAAGGAAAACCAATTATTTTAGCCCTCAGCTGATAATATTGTAAGGAACTCTGCAAAGTTTTTTTCTCTCTCTCTTTCTGTCTCTCTGTTGTCCCGATCCTATGCCGAGCAGCGAACGTGCGTTTTTTTTTCAAAAAAAGAGCAGACAGATTCAGCCTCCTGTAGAAACGAATTTTGTAAAGAAAGGGAAACGGCGCAGAGAGACAGCTTGGCCGATGTGTCACATTCATATGTCAAAAATCCTTGTTATGGCTCTAGCAGTGAATGATGGTTGTGGAGACATGACTATGATGGGTTCTGATAAGCCACGTCTTTACTCCTCCTTAAAAAAAACCATGACATTTGAGGTTGTGTTTTGCTTACAATTACAAATGATTTTTTTTTCATAATTAACCATGCCTGCTCTCTGTTAATTTGTCTCCCTTTTCTACCCACCCGAACCAACACCTCCTCCACTGCTTCCCCGTTGTGTTAACGTCTTTTTTTATTTTTTATTTTTGAAGTATAATCCTCCGGCTTCGCTCGCCGAATACGTCCACCGAATTGGGAGGACAGCTCGAATTGGCAGTCGCGGGAACAGCTTGCTCGTGCTCACACCTTCAGAGGCGGAATATGTCACCTTCCTGGCTTCTCACAAGATTAAGTGAGTCACAAGCTTCAGCGCACGCACATATAGACACACACACGCACACACACACACACCTCCAAAACCTTCCTCTCTGGCTGGCAAGCAAACTTTGTCACCGACTCCGTCAGTGCACGCACATATAGTCACACACACGCACCCCCCTCTCCCGAAACCTTCCTCTCCGGCTGGCAAGCAAACTTTGTCACCGACTCCAGCTAATAAAGCAGCTGTATGCTCTGGATGTGGGTGGAAGATAGGCGTTCTCTTGCTTTAGAACAAAGTCAGACAAGAGGGCAAGTTATATATAGATATATAAGGGAGAGAATTAAGGGTCAGACATGTTAATTAAAAATACCACAATTACTGAGCAAAATAGTACCCTTGGATATATATCTTGCATTTTGTATTCCACTATCATTCTTTGCAAGCTGGTTGGGTCTCTCTCTGTGGAGCAAGAGGTTGGGAGTTCGAATTCTACCCCCCCACTGGGCCTCCTGGGAGAAGAGCCAGCCTGGGTAGCCTTGGGCAAGCTGCACCGTCCCAGGGCGCCCCCTAGAGGAAGGGATGCACGTCTGCGCATCCTCTACTTGGAAACCCCTGAAAATAAGTCATAAATCAAAATTAGCTGGCTGGATAGGTCAGTGATGTAGGTCTCTGGTTGCGGAGCCAGAAGTTGGGAGTTGAGTTCAATTCCATGGAGAAGAGCCAGCCTGGGGGGCCTTGGGCAAGCTGCATAATCCCAGGATGTCCCCAGAAGAAGGGAAGGGCAAACCACTTCTGAGTCTTCTCTATCTAGAAATACCCTGAGAAGGGTCGGGATTGACTTGACAGCACACGATTAGTATTTATCACTCTTTCCAAGGATCTGTGTCCTACCAGGAGAGAAGCAAGCTGCTCTTCCCCCCCCCCCCAGAAGAACGTTTATTTGTTTACAGGTGTCCTCTTGTTATATTGAGCATTTATGATAAGTTGTTGGACATGGGAGGTTGGGTGAAACCACCCTCTCCGCTTTCTTCCCCCGACTCTCAGTCCACGCTCCGTAGTGGAGGCCACTTCCCTGAGTTGGCAAATCCGTTCTGGGTTTTAGTCCGAACTGATTATTTTTATTTTTTTTTTGTTCGAGGGAAGTAGGGTTCAGCACCACGGAGAGCTCCCTGTCGGAATTGGCCTCCGGGGGGACCCTCCTTGACCATTGGTTTTCCTTTCCTTTGAGTCACAACGCTTGACTCAGCCGTTCTGTTTAGAAAGCCTCTCACCTTATGAAGAGGTTGGGTCCGTCTTCCCTCCTTCAAAGGGACCTTACTACCGAGGTTTCATGCTTGGTGTGTGAGAGAGAGAGAGACGGGGAAGGGAGGGAAGTAAGTTTAGATTATAGTGGTGCTAAAGTTCTGCCTTGCTTTTCAAAAGACAGTTTTGTTATTTTAATTTCTGGCAATGTTAAATGTTGGTAGGATTTGGTTTTAGCAGCGTAGTTTTATGTGTACCATTAGCTTAGACTCTAATAAGGAAAGACAAAGTTTGAACGTTCATAATCATCATTATCCTATCAATAATGATCACCCCTCCACTAACACAACAGTTGCAATAATAATAAGTAATGTTGTTTGCTTATTCTTTATGTTTTGGAGTTGCTGTTTATTATATCGATTGGTCTTTTATTTGTTAACATACTTGGCTTTTCTCTTCCCTCGTCCGTCCGTGCAACGGCCTCGTGAGGTAGTCCAGTCAGGAAGAGATTGCCTCGGTGGCCCTAAGTCCTGCAGTGAAACTCATGGCTAATAAAACCTGAATCTCCCCATTCTAACGCTCTCACTTTATAAGTGGGGTCCTAGATCAAATCAAGCACTGAACTCTCTGTGGTGTCAAAAACGTTGAAGCCGAAGCTGTCCTAAACTTTGGGCACATCTCAACGAGGCAGGATTCCCCTGGAAGAGACGATAATGCTAGGAAAGGTCGAAGCAGCAGGAAAAGAGGAGGACCCAATAACACGAGGTGGACTGATTCCCTCAAGGAAGCCATGGGCTTCCTTCGCAAGAGCTGAGCAGGGCAGTTGAGGACAGGGACATTTTGGAGATCACTCCTTCACAGGTTCACCATAAGTCGGAGGCACATGAGGAGAAACCATCGCCCCACACGCAACGGCTTTACGCCAAAAAATCTTTTTGGGCCTTACAGCGCTGGCGGTGTGTTGAAAAGGCTGGATTTCAGCACCTGTTTAATGGAGCCAGGTGACCAAACCTGGGCGCAGTTCGGAGACGTCCGTGTGTTTGTGTGTGTGTGTGTTTGTGTGAAAAAGAGGGGAGCCGGTAGCAGGCTTAATGGATTACGGATCCGATTTGGGTAGACATCTCCGAGCCCCGGGCCGTCCGTACCATCACATCTAATTGCCCTTTCCGCTTGTAAACGGAGCCTTGTGGAAATTGATCCTGACAAATTCAGTGTGTGGCCAACGAGGCAGAAGGCGCGCCATGTGCCGGTCTGGCGCGGCGAGGCAAAAAACCCCAACCATCCGGCCACGTTTTGAAAAAGGGTTAGGCCTCGCTCTCTCTCTCTCTTTAACAAATGAAGCTGAACTAACCGATGGCAACAGGATCATTATGGTGATACTTATTGCAGTTTTGAGCTCGTTGGGGGCCGAAGATGATGTTTCCTCTGAGCTGACAAACGCGGGCGAACGGCTGCCTCGTTTTCATCCGTCCTCCAAGTTGGGGAGATGGGGCCGTGTGATGGCCCACATCTGTGTCCTGGAGGAAAAACAGATGTTTCTCATATTATTTGAGAGGTTAACACCTATAACGTGTACCGCCTATAATTTTTTCTGGGGTGAGGCCTCTGATTCCTCGCCTCGGGGACTTCGGCGCCCCGGATTTTGGCTTTTTCAAGGTTGTTGGGCGGGGAGGGCGGTGGGCGATGAGCGGTTTGCACAAATGTTCCCTGGGTCTCTTGCAAGATTTTGGTGTGGGGGGTTCTTATAAGACCAGTTCCCTAGGCCTGGGGTGTGCACAGTGCCGTTTCTGGACCCCATGTGACCCCCCCCAACCCCACGGACCATCTTTTTAGCCCCAAAAGCCACCCCCCCTCTCTTCCAAATTCAAAATCTCACACTTTGGGGGTTTTTTTTGGGGTGTGTGTGTGTCAAAATTTGCCTCCCGGTTTTTTCCCTCCCTCCTCTTCGGCTTTAAGAGGGGAATCTCCAAGATTTGTGCTGAAAATCTGGGCAATTCCTGGTTTGTTTTTTAATTTAAATAATTGCCATCTGGAGCCCTTTGGGGGCATGGTGGGGCCCCCTTCCGTGGAGGCTTGGGGGGGGCCTTTGAATTTGCCTCGTCACCTCTCGAACTGTGTCCGTTCCGTTTGCAGCTAGAGCACCAGGAAGAAGCTAAAAATTCAGATGGTGGTGTTGATCTGTGTTATTGTGTTATCATTTCTCTCTCTCTCGGAAAACCCAATGCAGCTGCAAAGCAGGTTTAAAAGAAAAATACAGGTAAGAGAAAACAGAACAAATTGCAATATTAAAACACCATGACATAGATCATCACATTAAAGCGACTATGGAATTTATAATACTCCCGACAATCTGGGTCCGCAGCCAGAGATCTAAACCACTCAACTATCCAACCAGCTATATAACTGTGTGCCGTCAACAGAACTGAAAGGGACCCTCGGGATCGCCGAGCCAGACCCTATCAAGGAGACACAATGGGGAATCGAACTCGCAGCCTCTGGCTCTGCAGAGAGCTCAACCACTGAGCTATCCAGCCAGTCCAGGGAGAAACTGGCTGTCTGACTAGCTAAATAATAGCATTGCTTTCTGTTTTAACGATTAAAATAGGAGCGCAGATCCTGTGGGTTTTAAGAGTGTAATGCAAATGGTCATTCATTCACAGGCAAATTTACCGCAGGTTATGGAATCCGCATCGATATATCTGTTGCATTAGGGTGGAGCTGTGGAAGCCCAGATCCTGTGGGTTTTAGAGTGTAATGCAAATGGTCGTTCATTCACAGGCAAATTCACTGCAGGTTATGGAATCCGCATCGATATTATATCTGTTGCATTAGGGTGGAGCTGTGGGACAGCTCAGTTGTGGTTTAGGCCTCTGGCTGTGGACTCAGAGGTTGGGAGTTCGAATTCCCCCCACAGGGCTTCCTTTACAAGGGACTGGACTCCATGATCTTATAGGGTCCCTTCCAGCTCTGGGGTCTAAGATGATGATCATGATAGCGCTTGGGCCAAACAGAATTTCATGGTAGATTTGCCTGCTATCAGATCAATAAGTAAGCAGGAATCTCTCGCACACAGGAAAAGTCATATTTTAAAAAAATCTCCTAAAACAGTGGTGCCTCGCAAGACGAATGCCTCTACACAGGAAAAGTCATATTTTTAAAAAATCTCCTAAAACAGTGGTGCCTCGTAAGACGAATGTCTCGCAGGATGAAAAAAACGCAAGACGAATGGTTTTTTCGATCGCTATGGTGCCTCACAAGACGGCTTCTCCTATAGCCACGCTTCGCAAGGCGCTTTGTTTTTTCCGAGACCGATGCCTCACAAGACAAAAATGGTGCCTCGCAAGACGGCTTCTTCTATGGCCGTGCTTCGCAAGGCGCTTTTTTTCTCCGAGACCGATGCCTCACAAGACAAAAAAATTTCATTTGCCTTGCGAGGTTCCCAGAGGAATGCATTGCAATGCATTCCTATGGGAAACCTCTTTTCGCAAGACGATTTTTTCGCAAGACAGCGCTACTCACGGAATGAATTACATTCATCTTGCGAGGCACCACTGTATTAGGGAGAACACAAGTCTCGTGAAAAGCAAAATGTTGATTCTGTATTCTATTCTTTTAAGAAAATAGCTATAAATTTTTATTTGTCTTTAAAAACAAATAAACAAAAACTACTCTACCCATTTTCCTGACGACCGGTTCTGTGCAACTTTTTCTTCCAGCCTCGGATAACCTTAAAACTACTTTTCCTCTTAAAAGTCGTAACATGAAATTAGTACAATTGTCGGTCTCTTTGCAACCCATTTTGGGCCGTCTTTAGAAAGTTAGTTCCCGAAGCCGAGGTGGCATGCCACACGCTCCGCTTTTGTGACTTAATAGATCTCATTTTAGAGAAGAGGGGGAAAAAAGGTAACGAGAAGAATACTGAGCTTGGCTCCAAGTCATTTTTCCCCGTTTTGCTCCATGTGTAAATATTTTGCTGGCGTCTTTTTGCGGTTCATTCAAGCAAGACGTGGAAGCGGGTGGCAGTGGTGTTGTTTTCCGAGCGAGGGAGTTTTTTAGACAGCTCATCAGTCGATGGCTTTATTTCCTAACCGGTGCCTAACGAACTTTATAAAAGGAAGCCGATCCTCCCCGTGAAAGCACGAGCCGACGGCGCGTCACGATGCGCTTCCCCGCTGTGCGAATCAAGTCCGCTTATCAATTCGTCAGGCTGTGTGTGTGTCTGTGCGTGTGTGTGAGTTTATTTTGACATCTCCAGAAGAAGAAGAAAATATCACTGTCGGAGGCTTTGACGTTTTCATTCACATGCGGGGCTGAGCAACCTTTTCCTCCCCAGAATGCAAGGAGAGATTTCTCTCCTTGCCGTTTTAAACAGCTGTTTGGAGTGACAAAATAATTGTAAGGGAACGACAAGGTCCTGGGTTCGAGTGTTGGGGTTTATGAAGGCTGATGGCCGGATCCAGGGGGTGTTTTTCTTTGGAATTTTGCCCCTCTGGGCTTGAGCCAACGTGGTGTAAGGGGGTTAAGAGCGGTTTTCTCTGGCTCTTTGGAGAGCTTGGTTCTGGATCTGCTACTGAGCTGTGGAACTATTTGAATTTCTCAACCCTGATGTACTTGCTTCACAGGCTTGTCGTGAAAGCAACAGGAGGACAACGGAGAACCAGAATATAAATCTTAACTAATCATGAATAAATAGATGTGGAAGCAAGTCCATGCTTCTAGAACCTGAACTTGGAAAATTCATGGGATCCGTTGATAGCACATCAACAGACCCCTTCCTTTTGACCCACCCGCCATCCCAAAGATGTCTGAGGCACTGTGCTGTAGTGGATAAAGCCCCTGGCTTTGGAGAGAGTCGTAACTCATAATGTTGGCATCTTACCTACGCTGCCCTGGAGCACAGAGGCAAAATACCCTGCCCTCTTAAAAAAGGAGGAGGAGAGTGTGGTGTGTGCCCCCCTCATGAAAGAGTAAGTCAGGAGGTATCGCAGTTCATTTTCCCAAGATTTTGGAGTTTTGAATTTTGGTTAAATTCCTTTTGCTCTGTAGTCGAAGTACAGAGACGGACAGGAGAGAATAGCTTCAAGTTCCCCCAGATAACCCGTTTCTCCTTAACTGGCACTTACAGTCTCAGTGGTAGGAGAAAAGAATGGAAATGTCTCATTACTTATACTTGGGAAGAGATAACGAAAAAACCACACACTTCAGCAGACAAAAGAGAGACGGAAAGAGAACTCACAACGGAGAGGCAGAGCCCTCTTTGAATTCCTCTTTCCGTAATTCATCCTTAACTAACAATCCATGTACTTATTTTGTCTCATCCCGTCCTGCCCACCACCACACGGCAGTGTTTTGGAGATGAAGATGGAGTCTGTCCTGTCCAGCTTGATGAAAGATGATCGTTTTGTGGGCAGCCACTGGAGAAATAAGGTGAGCAGTTCAAAAAGAAGTAGCAACTTTTCCTCGTTGGTTCTTCCTGGTCGTCTAGGGTGAGTATGAAACTCCAGTCCAGGTGACCAGACGTCAGAGGCACATTGTGGAAGCTGGCTAGGTTTTTTCTTTTCTGCCTTTCTTTTTGGCCCAATAATGCCAACACTACAAATAAGCGACTGGAAATAATATTGTCCGGATTCTAGTCCTCCCTGGCGTGCATCAACATCCAGCGGCTACAAAGAGGTCAGCGTGGAAATTGAACTATTCTCTGATTATCCTCTACCCGCACTGTGTTTTCAGTTTTTCCCCCCCAAATTGTAAAAAAATTGTGCTGCAGCTCCGTTGTGAAATTCACCCTGATCCCCTTTTTTTCTGTCTGGCCTCGCCTGCGTCCATGATAAAACACCACCTCTTTGGAGGATGTCTCTGTGTGTGTGTGTGTGTGTGTGTGTGTTTTGGGGCTTCTCCGAGAAGCCGGCGGGGAAGAGATGCCAACCGAGCACCTGTAAAATGTATTTTTTATCTTTAGCCGCATGAAATATATATGCCGCCGTGCCTGGGTGTGTGAATCTTCACCTGGCTACAAAGAGAATAAATTTGATCTGTGCGTTTGCTACCGAGGCAAAAGAGGGTAGTAGCTGTTGGGGGGGGGGAGGGCTGACTTCCTAAGGGGATTCCACGGGAGCAGGGTAGAATTTGCTGGGCGAAAAAGTTACTAAAAACAAAAGCCTTCATTTTGTATGTGGGCTTCTTTTGGAATCATCCAGCCACACGTGGTTAACTTCGTCACCTTTTGCTCAAAAAAAGGAAAGAGCATCTATTACAGGCAGCCTTTTCTTCTGTTGTATGTGTAACCCTCTGAAATTTGGATTTTCTTCAAAATAACCCCACTTCTCTGCCCTTGATATGTACATACCTACGACTTAGAGCAGACTTAGTCCAGGTTTCCAAAGGTGTAACCACATTAGTCTTTTAGGATGAAAACAGCACGCTTCTGTGGCTCATTAAAGCTCAGCAAATTTAGGGTCTTTAGGATCTAAACTGTGGAGAAGAAATCAGGAACGTTCTGGGAATTTGTTAGCCTCTCTTGTGCTGCTTTCGAAGTTTACTGTAACCACATTATTAGGTTATACCTGCAACGTAGTTAACCATGGTTAACACTAACCATGGTTAATTGCGTTGCAAGTATAACAGAATAAACCAGGATTCTCGGTGGATTTCTAAACCCTGGTCTATCTGCCTAGGGTGACCAGAGATGGGGAAAGTTACTTTTCTTTGGTCGGTGATCATCATTGATGAGGAAAGTTACATTTTTGGATGCCTACTTCCAGAATACTCCGACATGTCCCCGTCTTCGCACTACGATTCACAAAATCCTCATCTCTAGTTCCAGACTTCGCTCCAGAATCTTAGCTCTCTGTGTAGTTTTCTTTCCTTTCCAACTTCTGAATCAGTTTTTAAATGTAGTTTTGTTTTTCCTTCCCCCAGACCAGCAGACAGGGATCAAAACTGCAGTTAGGGTACATTTTTAAAAATACCACTCTATAGCGGGAAGCGAAGAAGTATAAAAAGAGAGAAAGAGTGGAAGGCTCAGCAAGAAAAGTGCGGCATGCGCTAGTGGCGCATTCACATACCATATATTTTAATATGATATTTTTTCTTCTGTACTCATTTTCTGCTGTTTGTTCTCTTTTTTCCTAACCTTTAGCCCCGTTTCCTCCCCAAAACTCCACCTCCTGATGCACATCCTCCTCCTCCTTTTTAATTCTTTCACTTCCTTCGTTCTTCAAAACTGGGGTTTATTTTTTTCTTCTTCCCGTTTTATGCTTTTCTCCCATCTTCCACCTCCCCCCCCTTTATTTTTACTTTTTTTTTTCCTGGAGAATTGGAGAAAAGCGAGCGAGCGAGAGCTCATTTTGAAACCTAAAAGGTAGGGAAGCGCAGTGGTGAGGCGGAAAGGGAGGGGAGAGCCGGCGAGAGAGAGAGGAAGCCGAGAAGTCCTTTGTAATATATTGCCATATTATCGGTAATCCCCAGATAGTCGTGGCATTGAAGCCAGTCATCTGTCACTTAAGTTTGAGGTCTCTTTAATTTTCTCCTGGAATTTGCGCCGGGCTGTCTTTAATTTCAGGCCGTTATTGGAATTCTGAAACCTTTCCCTGGCTTGCCTCTCTTCTGAGCCCCGATACCGAATGTATACAATAACCAACCAAGGGATTTGGTCGGGGCTGAATCTCTGTTTATTTAACACTCTGGGGGGATTTTCGGGTTTATTTGGTCCTTTGCTGCCTGCTTTCAATAAGGCTTTGACAACCGTTCTGCCCTTCTCATTAATTTTAAACAGTTAAAACACGGGGAAAGAGAAAGCAAGGGGTGGCTGTGTGGAAGAGTGGGGTGGGTAAAATTTTTCATTATTAAAGTGCTTTACTTTTTAATAACAGAGGATTCTGTCCACCGGGGAGAAAGGGCAACTCCGCTTAATTTCACATTCATATTAAAAATATATATATATAAAAATAACAAGCGGGAAGGTGACACTGTGTAACCCAGGAGGCTTAACAAAAGAAAAAAGGTGGATCAGAGTGGCATAGCGGAAGAAGCACAGGGGAACGAAGGGAGCTAGAAACTTGACTCATTTATTATATGTTTAAAATGCCCGATGCCCTTTCTCTGCCACAGTGGACCTTGGAAGGGGTGTGTGTGTGTGTGTGTATGATCAAGGATGTTGTGTGTGTTTTCATTTCTGAGATGGTGGATCACAGGTCTTCACTCCTTCCGTTGACATCCTTACAACAGTCTTGCAAGGTAGGGTCGACGGAATGAATACGGCTTCTTTTAACAGGATATTCGTTTGTGATATTTCTGCTTCGCCTTCATGGCTGAAGGGAGAGAAAACGTGGAGTGGAACTTTAAAAGGAGGAAAAACCGATTCGAAACGCCGTGACCCAGAGGCTGAATGGGGAATTTATAGGAAGCAAACGGAGGTGGTCGTAATTTTGGGCACATCCTGAGAAGGAAGAATGGTCTGGAAAAGATCCATCATGCCGGGGAAAGGTGGAAGGCAGCAGGAGAAGAAGACGTAACCAATCCGCCATCAATCAGTGGCCATTTGCTGCTTTGACTTTAGTGATTTCCTTTATTCAAGGGAAAGTCTCCAGTAGAATTCTAGCCCGTTAAAAACCATTAAGTGTATTGACAAAGTGTGCTTTCTCCCATGCTGGCTTACGGATTGATTCCAAACATCACTTTAAACCTGGAATCCTGGCTTATGGAACCATAATATGCAAGAGCTTTCACACACCCCTGACTGTTACTACACAGGGAACAAACCTGGGCAAGCACAGCCTACAGAACTTCCCAGCGACCTTGGAGTCAAACAAGCCAGGATATATGAGCTAAATATAGATCTTGGTTTAAAGCTGGCTTAAGGATCCAGGTTTGTTTGGATTCAAGAAGCCAGGAAACAAGAGTTGAGCCAAGTTCAGCCCTCCAGATGTTGCTTTACTCCATCTCCCATTGGCCCTCACCAGTCTAGCCAGTGATGAAGGACACGGACCGTTGTAGTGTAAAGCAGTGGTTTCCAGCCTTGGATTCCCCAGATGTTCGTGGACTAAAACTCCCAGAGGCCTTCATTGCTTGCTGTGCTGGCCGGGATTTCTGGGAGTTATGGTCTGAGAACATCTGGAGGTCCCGAGGTAGGGAAATACCGCTTTAGACTATAATGGACGGTGTAAAATTGCCCGAGAACATCTGGAGGTCCCAAGGTAGGGAAATACCGCTTAGACTATAATGGACGGTGTAAAATTGCCATTAGTAAAGGAATTGATATTTGCATTCCTAGATGAGTCTTTCCCACCTTCTTTTAGAAAATCTCTGCAGTTTTGGCTTCCCGCTTCTCACCTTTCTCCTTTCTCCCGGCGGTTAGAACGCCCACAGCGCAGACCCGCAGGAAGCGCATCGGAGAGCCACCGTTCTGCAGACCGAATTCGAGAATTATGTCCATTCTTCCCCCGAAATGGTCCAGTGGGCGAAAAAAGGTGAGGAGAAACTTCCCATTTTGCACAGTGGAATTTGCCTTGGATATATGTTTTTTTTGACAAAAAGATGGGATATAACATGAATAGTAAAACACATTATATTATTTTGCGCTCTATATTCCCTTGACTTTGGTCCTATGAGCAAAGGATATGTGTTCCAACTTTTCATCTCCTGAAACTCTTCCTCTGTGGTGGTGGCCGGCTATCAGTCAGAGGATATCCCGTGGCAATCATAAGGTCTAGAAACCTGCTGTTTTTTAAAAACCCATCATACCTACCTTTTGAGTCCAGTGCCATCTCTTCCGCCCAGACAAGGTAACTTGCTCCTCTCTCCTGTCCAAAAACCTCGTGATGTTTGGCCGGATGAGCCGAAGAGGAAAGCGTGGGGAGAAACTGACCGGCCGATTCCTCCCAGCGCAGGATCCCTGTGGCAGACGGTGACACGTGGGGCCGTGGGGGGGGGAAACGGCCTGTCCGTGATCAAACCCATATTGATACCCACCATTTATGCAATTGTGGCTTTCATAAAGATGGGCACAATGCCACTTCTTCATCTTCAGATGGCAGCCATGGGGGGGGGGAATTATAGCCTGCGTTTCTGATGACTATCTAAACGCTGTGTGTGTTTTTTTTCCTCCTTCTCCGTTTTATCTTCCACGTGAAGCCGCTTACTCTCTCTTCCTTCCTTCCTGTTCTGCGCTCTGCGTATGCCCCATCTCCGGCGCCGGCTGGCATCCATAAACCTCCCTTCGTTTCTTTCTTGGCCGAAGCCAAGGCTGGTGAATAATTAACACGGCAGCTGGCGCGGGCCTTTATGGCAGGAAATCAAATGGTGAGGGTGCCAAATGCCCAGTTCGTTTCGCTCGCGCTCTTCCGTTTTCCTTGACCTCTTCCTCTCCTTGTTTTTTTTGGACCTCCTCTGCGCCGATCACCGGTTCGGGGATCCCTGGCCCGCTTCCGAAAAGAACGTAGATGGTTTGTCTGCTGCCGGTAAACCCCCCTACCCCACCTCTCCTGCTTGGATCTTTTCTTTAAAAAAATAATAATCAAAGCTTGGTTCGGAAAGGCTAAAATTTGGGTTTGAACCTGTGGTTCTTCCAACCGCATTTTGCCTGGGCTGTTGCTGGGTTTCTTTAGAAGCTGGATCGATCGAAACCGAGAACTTGTAAGTGTAGCCGGACGGCTATTCCTGGCAATGATAAATACACACACACACACACCCTATTAGAAGGGAAATGACAATCTGATTATCCGATTGCGTTTCTTGTCTGGCGTGCCACCGGATTTCTTTAGAAGCGGGCCGTAGAAATATATCTAGGTTTTGAATGGGCCACTGAGAGCCGTTAGCCTTACAAAAGACCCGCTCCTGGCAGAGAGAGAGAGAGAGAGAGAGAGAGATGGAACTGTCTAAGGACTGGTTTCTTAATACGACTCAGTCCCCCTGCCTGCCTTTCTGTATTCCTTAGATTAGGTAGCTATGGGGGTCTCTCAGGGAAAACGTTTGGGGTGGTGGGCGTTCTACAGCGCAAGATCTTCTGAGATTAAGCGATTGACCTACTGTTCCTTCCTTCTCCAAGTCAAGCTCCATGTGGGTGTCATTGGGAAAGGCCCCACCATGTAGGTGCAATGGGACCTGGAGGCTCCACCTCACCCCCCCTTTGCATAAACAGCAAATTTTTCCGCTCCGGGTTTTCTTCCGAACTTCCCGGCAGCTACTGAAGGCGCTAAACCCCTAACATGCCCATCTTGAGAGATTCAGCACCTGGAAAAAAACCACCTATAAAGAAGTTTGGGACAGCTTAGGTAGATAATACTGATTCAGTCGTCTAAAAGGATATAGATTATATTTAATATACCGGCGGCAGTTGGGGCCACAGGGAGAAAGGATATTCCTAGAATGAAAAGTATTTTAGTTTCGAAAAGGAGTCGAAGCGTACGAGGATGACGGCAGTAATGAGGATGCTCCGTTTGTTTTCCATCCTGGAGTTTTCGGTGGAGTCGTGCAAAGAAGGGCCGTAAAGACTCCGGCATTGTCGTTCGTCTTTATAGGGATTTGACACCTGGGTGGTTTTTGGGCTTCCTTTCGCCAAACTCCTTGGGTCCGAGTTCGTTTCCAACCATCAGAGGGCGGTGCCTCGTTTGGAAATCTTTGGGGATTCAAATGCCTGTAAGACCTTCGAAAGGAGACTTAAAAAAACACACACACACCCGTATATATGGCATGGCTATCGCTTCCCTGTGTCGTGGATAAAGCAATGGCCTCGGACTCTGGAGAACAGAGTCCTCCATAGTCAATAGGGACTAGAAACTTGTTTGTTGAAATACGTATCGGGGAGGGCCCGAGACTCTTAGGACCTTAGGCCTTTAAAGCACCCAACCTTTTCTTACCTTTCAAAGCCCTTGGGCTCTTGTTATCCCCACCCCACCCCGATCTCCCTACAAGCTCCTTTTCCTCTCCAGGCACTGCTAGCTTCTTTTTAAATAATAATAATAATAACATAAAAATTGACGGTGTGAAACCAGGAGAGAGGTGTTGCAATGCGTGTTCCCTCCTTTGCTACTCCCTCATTGATTGGGAAATGGCGTTCGCTTTGCTCGGCAAACAGAGCTTTGACGGATTCCCAGGTTCCTTCCAGGAACTGATCTCGCTAAAATGACATTTTTATTACTGTTCCGTAAACCCCAATCTCCTGCCACCGCCAAGAGATTAGGCTTAAGCCCTGGGCAAACGTGCCGGTCTAGTAGCTCGGGGTAAGGAGGGCAAAAGAGGCCGGGCGGAGCGAAGGAAGGAAGGCGAACGTCTGAGAAGAGAGGAGGGTAAAGACAGGAACTCCACCGAGATCTGTCCGAAAGAGGACGACCGCCAAATCCTTTTACCTTCGGAGCATGGGGGAACGCTCGTTTGACACTGAGAACGGAGGCCGTTCCATTATTGATTGATTGATCGGCTTACTGGCTTATTCATTTGCTGCCTTTCTGCCCATAGGGGACCCAAGGCGGCTCACAATAAATAAAACAGCCAATTTTTTAAAAAGCACCCCTTATCCACGTAATCAGTATCCGCTGATTCGCTCATTGGTAAATGTTAAAAGAAAAATCCTGGAAATCCGATTTTTTAAAAAGCACCCCTTATCCACGGAATCAGTATCCGCTGATTCGCTCATCGGTAAATGTTAAAAGAAAAATCCTGGAAATAATGTATTTCTAAAACTTAAGTTCTTGGAAAGGGCCACGAGAGGGAGGTGAGGACCATGCCGTGTATAGCCTTCGCTCTTAAAGTAGTGTTTGCCGTAATCGGTGTTTTTCAGCATCCACGGGGGACAAGGGGGTTTGGAACCAACCGACCCCCCATAGATAACGGGAATCGTACTGGATATAAATTTTATGTTTGTTTGTGGTAGAGCCTTTAGGAGAAAGGCATCATAAAAACAAAGTTTCGGCATCCACAAGGGTCTTGGAAGCGATCCCCCATAGATACTCTGGCCCTATTGTATAATAAGCCCTTGATCAAGATGTCACAGGTGAGGAAATGAACGTATTTCCAGAGCTACCTACATTCTTTTTAAAGACTTCTCTCTTTCTCTCTCTCCCTCCTTTTTCAGCTCTCCAGTCCTTCATCCGGTCATATGCAACGTACCCTGCCAGCCTGAAGCACATCTTCCACATCCGGTCTCTCCACCTGGGTCATGTGGCAAAGAGCTTCGGGCTCCGGGACGCCCCTCGGAATCTCAGGGACTCGACCATCCCGGATCGGAGGAAGAAGCAGAAAAGGTAGAGGTCAATAGAGCTTACTACAGGGACCTGATAACACAGCGGTCGGTTTTAACCTATGCAGTAGGACCCCCATATCTGCTCGGGATTGGTTCCAAGTCCCCTCCCCATAGTGATCTGTCTGTCTGTCTGTATGTCTGTCTGAGAGAGCATGGTATAAGGAAAAACAGCAGAAAATAAAAAAATATTTGCACATGTTTTACCAGAACTGGCCACTAGAGGGTATCAGAGACCATACTATGTATTTTTCACTATGTCTTCCTGGCACAGTCTCTCCCTCCCTCTAGTGGCCGATTCTGGTAACACGTGTGAAAAATAGGGTTTTTGGGATATTTTTTATTTTAATATTTTTAAATAGTTTCAGACCATGGATAAGTGAATCAGTAGATATTGATCCCACGATTAAGGGGATCCTCCTGTTCTGGGATGAGCAAAATGGGGCACTTTGGTGGCATGCATCTCCCCCAGTGTACTCCGTCTGTACTCATTTTTCTCCCTCATTTTAAACTGCAGATCCCTCTGCCTCCACTAGGGGGCGTAGATGCTCTTTCAGCATGTTGTCCGTGTCTCCCCCCCCCAAAGCTTGTTTTAGTTTGTCGGTCGGGGGGGGGGGTTGGCTTTTCAAAAACCAAAAGTGACCTCAGAAAGGTCATGGCAGACCAAAATAATATATTTTCATTTGTTTTACCGGTTGCTGCCTCTCCCACAACTGTCATCTCCTTCCTTCCCTTGTTCAGTTCAAAATATTTATCATGACTTTTATAGGTTCCCCCATTAAATCATCTTTTGTAAGCTGACCCTCCAATCAGCTTACAGAAGATTTTAAAAATAAATTGGTCTTATAAGTGGAGACGTTCAGGTTTACCTATTTGGAATAGTTTTTTATTACAATACTTGTTTAATTCTTTTTTTTTTTAATGTTTGGATACTCACTGGTTTTACATTTTAAATATTGTCATTTAACGTTGTAAGATGCTTTGGGTCCTTTTCAAGAGAAAGGCAGGTGAAGATATTTTAAATAAATACGTTCAAACAGGAAGCTTTTCCTGCGGGATACTCCCTGGTTTTACATTTTAAATATTGTAATTTAACGGTTGTAAGCTGCTTTGGGTCCTTTTCAAGAGAAAGACAGGTGAAGATATTTTAAATAAAGAAATACGTTCAAACAGGAAGCTTTTCCTGCTTGCTGGCTTCCGAGGCCCATTTTTTTAAAAAAAACCTTAACCTGTCAAAGATTTCTGGGATTGTTGGCCTATGTTTGTTTTTAAATACTTCTGCGTTTATTTATTTATTCTTTGTTTATCTCATTACTGCTCCGTCGTCCGTCTTGATTTCGACTCGGCGAAAGTCAAACTCGGAAATCCTTCTCATTTTATTTATTCTTATTTATTCAAAATATTTCTGTCCCGCCTTTCTCCCCAAAAAGAACCCGAGGTGACTTGCATCATTTTTTAAAAAAAAAACATTCAAAAGTTAAAAAACAGTAAGTATACAAATATTTTATTTTAAAAAAAGAATTAAACAAGTATTAGATTAAAAGGGGGAACTAAGGTCTATATTAAAACCCATTTAAAACAACAGAGCACATCCGTCCGTTTCTCCTTCTCCGTTTCTAACTTTTCGTTCTTAATTTCTGCTCCATCTTTTCTCTCTTATCTTTCTTTGCAAAACTTCTACGTTGCAGTGTTCTTAACCTTCAATTTTAGGTTTTATTTCCCTCCTCTCTCTTATTATCTTGGGCCCTCTTATTTTTTTTAGGGGGGTGGGACAGGTAAAGCCCGGTCTGTGCACGGAATCGGGAGGGGGCGTGCTATGAACCCCCCCTTTAGAGGATGACCGGATGCTGACAACTCGGGGGGGGGCACGGTGTGTGTGCATGAGAAAGTGAAAATTAAAACAGAAATTAAGACGGGAGGAGGGAAGCGCGGGGGGCCCTCCTCCACATCGTCCTGGGCGTACGCACGCAGGGGGGGGGGGCTTTGCATCGGGGAACCCCACGAGGGAAAGGCTGTGCTTTTCCTGCCGGCTGCTATGGCGGCCGGCTGACCCTCGCCAGCAGATGGGGAGCAGAATCCGAAGGCCCCTGTGAGCTGAGGATTTAACGGGGCTTTATTTACGAAAGAATAGCCTGATTAGCAGATAAAGAGCATGTAAGATGGTATGGGGCCTCTTTTGATGTCTCAGTTCGACTTTCAGGGAACGAGGGGGGGGGAAAGAGAGAGATAGCCCGACGCCAGCATCTCCCCGGATTACAGCAGACGGCGACAATGGTGCCCTGTGTTTTCACAATGTTCGTGCCCTCGTACGGCTCTTCCGCCCCCTTTCTCGATCTCCCCGCATCGAGGGGGGGGGCCCATTCCTTCCCTGTCCCCCCAACCCCCGCCTTTCCCCTAATGCAAAAAACATTTGATGCCAGCGAAGTGGCAAAAGCCGAGAATTGGACGGAGATGAGTGAGAACCTGTTTTCCCGGTTACAGTGTGTTCGCAGGATTTAACCTTCTCTTCCCTCCCCACCTTGCCTGGGTTGCCAAGAAGCTGATTTCAGTAATCTAAAAGCAGCCAGGATAACATTTCCGGACTAAGGGCTCTTTAACTCGGCTTCTGGTTCCTGATCAGCTGCAAAGGTTTTTTTTTTTAATCTTGGCCGAACGAACCTCACGGGGTTTTAAGAATAAACCGCAAGAATGGCCAGGGTAGGAGTCCCTCCCTGTTAGGCTTCTGTTTCTCTCCAGTGTGGGAGAGTTACTGCTTTTTATCATTCACAGGAGAAGAGATGGGGATGAATTGGGAGAAAAAAACACAATTCGTGATGGTTTGCGGCGAACCACGAATCTTCGGGGAAAAAAATCGAACTGGTTTGCGGTTCGTTTTCCCAATTCGTAACTGAGGGGGAATTTCGCTGCTCCTGTGTCGTTCCCCGTCCCCTCGGTCTTGCCAGATGCACAGAATCAGCCCAGTTTATCCGTGTTCATGGTTTGGTTTGTGGCCAATCTCCAAAGAGGGGCTTTCAAGACAAGACTTCTGGAGAGCGAAAATTCGCACCTGCAACCCTAATCTTGATACCCAGCCTCCGCTTTACTTTTTAAGTTTTGAAGAAGGTGTCGGGAAGCTTCATCATCAGGTTCTTTGAGAAATATCTCACTCCCGTGAATATTACAGTGTTGGGGCGGCGGTTCGAAATGATTTAGTTGGAACTACTTCCTCCACCTCAAGAAGTTTCTGGTGGGAAACTTCTTGGGCTGCCTCCTTTTGAGAGGCCCTTTCGTTGTGGGTCTCCCCCCCCCCCCCGGTGGGGTTCATCAACGCAGCTAAATTGCTTTCTTTCTGACCAGCGTTGAAGGGCGGAAGAAGGAAGTTACTTTTTTAAAGCAATAAATTACAACAACAATTATACAGTGTCTCTGGAAGGAGTTAGTTACCACTGTAGTTAATTGTTCTGGGGGAAAACAAAGAAACAAGTTACTTTCTTTGTTTTTCAAAATCAAATAGTTGCTTTTTTAGTTACTTTTAAAAAGCATCTGAAAGTTATAAGATACTAGCTTGTAATAAAAAGCACACGTCCTGTCATTTCTCTGGTTGCTCCTTCAATACCTACCGTAAGTGGGTATGACTTTGAACAAAATGATAGTCCTTCTCTGTCATTTAATAGGGAACTATCAAAGTAACTATCAAGGTTGAATGCAACAGGAAAAGAGGAAGGGCAAATATAAGATGGAATGACTGCCTAAAGGAAGCCACAGGGTTTGCGTTTGCAAGAGCTGAGCGTGGCAGTTGAGAACAGAGTTGTCGTAAGTTGGCGGCGCATAACGAGAGGAATACGAGTAACTAGAATTATAGTTACCTGCAAATTATCCCTCTTTTTTCAATGTAACTTCCTTATACTTTTGTTACTGGGGAAAGAAGCTGGTTACAAGTAACTGATGGGTTACTCATTACTTCCAGGCCGTGGCAAAGACCCTTTGGTGAAGTATCTGTTCAAACCAGGCCCTCCCCGGCCAAAGCTGCAGCTGTATCTTGTCCCCCCACCCACCCACAAAGCAATCTCTTCATCAGTAAAAAGCCCGCTCGGCTGCCAATTTCCTTGTGGCATTTACGGCTTCCTTAATATCACTTAATTAGCGGCCGGGAAAGCTGGAAGCTCGCCTGTGGAGAGAGATTTTTTATACGGGTGGAAGCGGGCAAGCGCTCCAAAGATCTGTTTTTCGAAGAAAATAACCCTGCCGTTTCCGGTCAAGTGTCAAATCAAGGAGAAGGGGTTGTTTAACGGAAGACGGAAGGGGCTTGTATGACACCAGAGGTTTCAACAGGAAGTTTTCTAGATCAATAATGTGGCGTTCGGCTTTTCTCTCCCTGCAGCTGTTGACCCTCGGTTATGTCCACCATTTTCTCCCCATTGTTCCTTCTCACGATTTTGATTTCCCCCTTTCGGTCTTCGATAATTTCATAGCCTCGTAGAATCATGGAGTTGGAAGGGGGGGAGACCTATAAAGGCCGTCGAGCCCAGCTCCCCCCCCTGCTCGGGGCAGGAATCCCAAACGGTCAAGAATAATGCGATTTGGAATCAAAACACCCAGAGAGAGCGTCTGATTGGGGGGCAAAATGACCGTTTGATAGAGGTAGGAAGGAACATGGACGGCCAGGCCCTGAAGACGGTGGTCCTGTTTTGATCCTAGCGAAAGGTGGCGTTAATCCGTGCTGATTCCGCTTACGGGCAACCTCGCGCCTCCAGACACCGCTGGGACCTTGGTAACAGGCCTCTTCCACATCCTGCTCCAGAGTAGACCCCCTGAGCTTACTCAGACGAAGTCATGGGTGGTGGCCTGGGATAACCGGACCGTTGCCCCCAGCGTTTGCTCCGTTTTCCTCCTCTCTGGTCCGGATGCTTCGTCCAGATCCGGGAAGACCCTGATGACGTGAACCCTTCCTTTTTAAAATCTCCTGGCCGAGGAGAGATCGGCCGGGTTGCTCAAAGGTCTGTTGCTCCCTTAATCGGTGCTGGGCCCCTTTCATCTACCTCCCCCCCCCCGTGGTGCTACGCGTCGGCCACAGATGGCACCATCAGCTCCGAGGGTACGAAGGCAGGTGTTTGGGTGGCATTAAGCCCAAGGTACCCCGGCCGTGGCGCTTGGCACCGTCCGCCAATGGATGGGGCAAGCCGGCAGGAGCTGGCGTCAGATGGATTGACAAGCTGATCTGTGTTGAAAAGTGTTTTCCCTGATAAATGGCCGTCTCGTTTTCGAAAGCTTGCACCACGGGTTCGAAGGGGCAAGCGTTGCGACGGTTACTTGATGGCGCTGAGTAGAAAAATCGCCCGAAGCTCCCCTACCCAGCTTGGGGGGGGGAAGCATCTGAGCCAGAATCGGGTCTGTTGTGCTTCTCTGTCTTTCTGGTTTAATAATAATAATAGCCTGAGGTGGGGAGGATTTCTATGACATTTCACCTTTTTTCTGCAGCCTGCCTTCAAACCCCATAAGCAACCCTGGGCCCCTTTTTAAGAAGAAAGGTAGGGTAAAAATATTTTAAAGCAATAAATAAAATGTTTATGGGTCATCTGGCCTTTCTCACTGGGTTACGTGTAAACAGGTACGATCCTACCCATAAGCTCAAACATAGGTTGATGGAAAAAAGATGACATGTCATAGAAACCCTTCCCGCCTAATTAATAATCATGTGCCACCAAGTCAATTCTGACTTACGGTGACCCTTTTTCAGGTAGAGGAGACTCCAAAATATGGTGTCTACTTGAGTGAAATTTCTTTCCAAGCATCTCTGCTTTCCGATTGCCATTTGGGAAATGCAAGCAAGCCAGAAGAAAACCCAGCTACATCACCTTGAAGAACCCAAACCTTTTTTAAAAAATCCTTTTTTACTGACCCGTCGTTTCTCATTTCTGCTTTCTTACTTTTTCTTTTTTCTTTTTTTATTTTTGCCCAGGCATGACGTTCTCAAGAAGCCCCATGGAAAGGGCCGCCTGGCCAAAATGTTGCAGTCTGAATATTCCAGCGGCTTGGATCGTGCCCCTTCCAAGGTCAAGTGGAAGAAAAAGGTGGCAAAAGACAGAATCCAGGGCACCCCAAGCTGACCTCCGAATGCTGTGGGTAGGAACAGAGATCCATCTTCTTGCGATCTGAAGATGCAATTAAAAAACTGTGTTTTTTTCCCCCCTCCTTCCCTTCCGAACTTCAAAAATTTGGAATAAACTGCTACGAATGAAGGGGATTCTGGGGATAAAGAGCTCAACCTCAAATATCGTTCTTTGTGAATTAGACAGCGGCGACGGAACGTGGGCTCGGCTGTCCAGTGTGGTGGCCTTGGAGAAGAAATCGCTGTTGAGTTGAGTGGGGGAAACCCGTAACCCCGTAAATAAAAGATCGAGAGAGGATTCATTTGAATATTTGCATCTTTTAGAGGTTTTTCCTGCTTCGGGGTGCAACGGTTTCTTCTGTTCCTTTGGTGGACGGTGGCCAAGCAACTTCTTTGCTGGACGATGGCCAAGCACCGTTTGCCAAGCAACGTCATGATCCAAACTAGGCATGGTGAAGTCTGTAAAGCTACTTTTGGACTGAATTGGTCGTCACGGGGTAAGACAGTGGCTCCCCATCTTGGGGGATACCTGTGGGTTCTTGGGACTGCAACTCCCAGAATCCCCAGCCCGCCCATGTTGTGGTGAAGGCTTCTGGGAGTTGCAGTTCAGGATTTCGGCCATAGAGTCGCACACCGGTGTGTGTTCGGTTGCAGAGTCGTAGAACTGGAAAAGCCCTTTTTCTGTCCAGTTTTGTTGGCCGTCCTTTAAGAGGCATCTGGTTTTATTATCTTAGAACGGCAGAGCTGGAAAGGGATCCTATAAGATCATCCAGTCCAGCCCCTGACATGGAGGCCCTGTGGGGGAATCAAACCCCCAAATTTGGGCTCCATAGCCAGAGACCTCATTTATCTGTCAATCAATCTGCATATGTTTCGATCTATAGATACAGAGAGAATAACAGCAGTGTTTTTTTTCCCACTTTCTCTTTTGGCCTGGTGAGATTTGGAGCCCAGAAGTCCCTCCATAAGGGACAAATTTTTAATCTTGCTATTTTCTCCCCACCCCAACCCCTGACGTGTTTGAAAGGGTTGTCGTTCATTAGCGTGCAAGGTGGCATTGGTTGGGAGGTACAAGAACAATTAAATAGCACAGAATGTCTTTAATTTGCATTTCTGGCTGTGTAAACATAAGGAAAGACGGCGACAGCGAGAAAATCTTTTTCTTCTTTTTTTTTAAACCTCTCTCTCTCTTTCTCCTTTTCGAAATGAAAAGCGCAAGTTGTTCCTTTGATAGATTTTTAATATGATCTTAAAAGAGTTTTGTTTGGCCTCATTCTTAGGCAATGAGATTAATTTAAAGCACTTATCCCTCGGGTTTAAGTCAATCCATGTCGGTCTTTGGAAAGAGGGGGCCTTTGTTTCGGGGAGCGCGCGGGGGGAGTGCGTTTTGTTTGCCATCCAGCCGAAAGAGACTCCTTTCTCACTTCATTAAACCTGAGCTGCGGACAATCCTCCTTCCCAACACCCTTCTTACACACTCACACATGCGGGGGATTTACCACGCTCTCTCCTTTCCTCCTTCCAGTTGGGGGGCGGGCACGTCGTTAGGCAGAAACTGTGCTTTTCCCAGTGACGTCCAGCAGAACGAACTACCGCTGGCCTGTTGCTCTAGCCATTAATAAAATAATATATAAATAATGTAATAAAATAATCATACACTAAGTGTAGTATTTTTTAAAAAAGCCCTTCCAAGCTCATGCATAGCCCCCTTGCCTTGATTGATTGATTGATTGATTAATTGATAAAAAGCCCTTCCAAGCTCATGGCATAGCCCCTTGCCTTGATTGATTGATTGATTAATTGATCGATCAATTGATCTTATAGACCACCCAGCTTAGTGGGAACACAACTGAGGATAGTTTTTTTATCCTTAGGTAAAACAAGCAACCGACAAAAACAAATAAACGGGGACCGTGAAGCATCCCCATGCAATCGGAGACAGATGGATAACTGGCAACTGAAATGACATGAAACATGACATAATGGAAAAAGAAAACGTACATTAGCAAAATAGCATTGTTACAAATTTGCGGGTCTCTCAGATTACCCGAAGATGTTGTCAAAGGGGTCCTTAAACAGTTTGGTCTTTCATCATCTTCTCTAGATCTGTAAGGAGGGAGGCCTGTTTGATTTCCAGTGGAAGATAGTTCCATTTGGAAAAGCAATCTGATCAGACAGGGCACGGAGGGGGACGTGGAATGGATAGATTTTGGATTCAATATGATCTTTGACATCGTCCTACTTGCCAGAAAGCAAGTCTCCATCACTGGTTCAAGGTGGAAGGAAGGAAAATATATAAACAAGAGGAGGAAGGAAGAATGAATATATATTTTAAGGCACCAGGTATTTCAACCCTTCCCCAAAAGGGACGGAAGACGCTTTGAAATCAATGTTTTGAGCACATTTGAAGTTCCAGACGTCTCATCGTGTGACACGTCCTGCGTGCATCCCGCACCTCGTCAAGCCGACTGAACCCAGATTTCTCTCTCGTGTCCCCAAATTTCAGGATGAAAACTCAAGTCCCGGGGGTCAGGGTCAAGTCGGGCTGAAGTCACACCGGCGATGCGACTTGGAATTTTGTTTCTCAATTTTGCGGACTCGGTTTCGCCACTCGTCGGAACCCGCCGATCCCCTTTCCCTTTTTTGTGGGGGAAAAAGTTTCATTTTTAATAGGGACTCTGATCCAAAGCCTTTACTAACATCCCTGCCCCCCCAATGCGAAATCATTTCCATGGGTCCTCGGACACTGTCTGTCTTTGCCCCCTTTTCACCCCAGATGACCTTGTGGTCGCTTTCCCCCTTTTTAAAATTCACATCTCTCGCTCAACCCATGTTTTTGTGTGTGTGAAAGGCTGATCTTTTTTTAAACAGCCGGTTTTGGGTGGGTGGGAGATCAGCCGAAGGCTCGGGAGAAGGGAGAGAGAGAGAGAGAGAGATGGGGGGGGAAGCAGCTTGTGGGTCTGGCGCTCTTAAAATTAAAAAAAAAAACCTCTAAGCTTCGCAACCCATCTGTCATCTTCTCAAGATGGGGAGCTACTGACTCTTTGGCTCTCCCGGTGACCAGCTGCTGGGGAGAAGCTAGCGCGAAAGCAGACGAGTGACACATTCCTTCTCTGTTTTTTTGCTTTCTTTCAATCATCCTCCCCTCCCCACTGCCACCAAACACACACACACATACCGGCTCCCTTTCCCCCTTATTAAAAGCCACCCCCTTTAATTTTGCCAAACCGATTCGTTGACGGCCGAGATCATCTAGGCAGAAGGAAAGAGAAGTGAATTAATTCAACCGAGCTTGGCCAGGGGGGGGGACATCTCGTAGCAAAGGCTGGCCCCATATTCCTTCTGCTTCGCCCGGGTCACCTCCCGACTTTTTGGGTGCCGAGGAGCAGAGGGTCATTATTTGGGGAGGGGAGGCACAGACCTCCCCCCCAAGGCTGAAGGCCAACCCAAAAGCTTGCAAACCAACCCCCTCCAGCTTTCCCCTCTTTTGACAGCTCTGGGCGATATTCAGTGTCACTGCTTAATCATCATCACGTACCATCAAGTAAACTCTCACTTATGGTGACCCTTTTCCAGGCAGAGAAATATTCAGACGTGCTTTACCCTTCCTCTAGGGGGCGACCTTGGAAATGGTGCAGCTTGCCCAAGGCTACCCAGGCTGGCTCTTCTCTCAGGAGGCTGATGGGAATTCGAACTCGCAACCTGTGCGATCTCCAAGTCTCCCTTTATGTCCCCCTTTCCCTCCCTCCCCATGGGACTCAGAATAAGGGGAATGCCTCGGGTAGCAAATGCTCAGAGGCCGCAGTTCCAGGCTCCTAAAGCCCTCTCTTGGGCGGTCTACAAGTGAATTATGCAGGCGACACACCGAATAAAACTATTTACTACATCTTTCCTGTGATTTTGTTAACTGTCATTCTCATTCATAAAATCTGTTCCCAAGAGAGTGGCTGTTAATTCCTTTGAACGTCCCAAAACCATAGGATAATGAAGTCGGAAGGGGTCCCTAAGGCCATCCAGACTGACCCCCCTTGCTCAAGGCAGGCACCCAAGTCAAAGCAGATCAGATGGAGGGTTGTCCAATTTTTCTCCTGAAGGTCTCCAGCGCTGGAGCGCTCACCACCTCCTGAGGTTCTGTTGTCATACTATTCGAACAGTTGAGAAGTTTTTTTTCCTGATATTCAGCCTAAATCTGTCTCTGGAGCCGATGACAAGGTGTCCTGCACTCTCGGATGATGGAGAACGGATCCTGCCCTTCCTCTTTATGGCTACCTTTCAAGTCTTTGAGGAGGGCTGTCCTATCTCCTTTCAGTCTTCTTTTATCCGGGCTAAACTTGCCCAGTTCTTCCTCCCAGTTTCCTCCGAGGGCTTGGTTTCCAGTCCTCTGATCATCCTGGCCAGTTCTTCCTCCCAGTTTCCAGTCCTCTGATCATCATCCTGATTTCTCTCCTCTGGACTGGCTCCAGTTTGTCAGCATCCTTCAAGTCCAGAACTGAGACACAGGACTCAAGATGCGACCTAACCAGCGCTGAAAGGAGAGAAACTAGTATCTCGTAAATGTATTTTTTCTCTGGCAAAGATTATAATTACTTCCTGGCCCCCACCTTTATTTTTATTTTTTATTTTTTTGCTTTCTAGCGGGTTTTGATGCTCAGAGCCTGCAGCAACGGCGGGTGGAGGTGGAAGAAGGCTTCGGAGTGACTCGATCTGTTTATAAAGAAGTTTATTTCCACATTTAAAAAAGAGAGAGAGTTTGTTTTTTCTTCTTCTTCTTCTGATCTCTTCTAAAGCAGAATCCTTTTCTTCCTTGCAAAGTCCTGGAAAAGAATTCCACAGATATACAGACTTACAAGACTCACATACACAAATACGCCCTCAGGGTTCACCAATAAATAATTCATATACATTTATGCACACGGTATTTACAGGAAAGAGAGGGGGGAAAAACACCCTCTTTTTCTTTAAGTTACATACTTTTGAAAATCCTTGGTTTAGCATGAAAGGGTACCTCCTCGTGCTAGGCGCGCATCGTCCGTGGGCTGGGGTTTGGTGGTATTTGGTTACCTGGGATAGAGGAAATCCTTTTTTTCAGGTGGAAATGCATAAAATATTTAATTTCTGCATCTCGAAAAGGTTTGGAGTTATCAGGGCCACGATTCGTACAAAGGCCACAGATCCGGCTGCCGCAAATTTTTGGAACAGAGAAAAAAGAACAACATTATTTCTCTGAATCTGTACAGTAGGACCCCCATATCCTTGGGGGATTGGTTGCAAGCTCCCCTGTGGATACTGGAAACCGTGGATAATAGAAAATGGAAGACATTGCATGGTAAAAGAAAAAAATCCAGAAATTACGTATTTTCACCATGTGTTACCAGAACAAACCACTAGATGGGGCAAGAGAGCATATTCTTCAACAAGAATACATAGTATGGCCTCTGGCTCCATCTAATGGGCAGTTCTGGTAAATAGATTGCAAAAATATGTCTTTCTAGTTTTTTCTTTTAATATTTTTTAATATTTGCTGGCCACAGATAGGTGAAACTGCGGATGAAACTACTGAACCCATGGATACGAGGGTCTTATTTTCTTTTTAATTTAGCTCCACCTACTTTCTCTTAGCTCTTAGATACAGCTCTTGCACCTTTAAGAAGGCAACTCTGTGCAGTAGGACCCCCTTATCCACCAGATAAGTATCCACTGATTCACTTATCCACGGTCGCTTTTTAATTCAGCTCCACCTACTTTCTCTTAGCTCCAAGAGCAGTAGGACCCCCTTATCCACCAGATCAGTATCCACTGATTCACTTGTCCACGGTCCAAAAATATTAAAAATATTTAAAAAGAAAAATCCCAGAAATGCATATTTCTAAAAATGAATTTACCAGAAATGGCCAACAGAGGGAACCAGAGACTATGCTATGTATAGCATTTGCAATCAACAGCGTTCGCTATAATCCACATTTTTCAGCATCTGCGAGGGGGGTTGGAACATTTCTCCTCCAGATACGAGGATCATACTGTACTCTCTAAGGCGCTGGATTCTTATCTCTCATCAGCTAAACAAGAAGGGGCTGCAGGAAGCTGGTAACCCTCCTAAGGATGGGTGAGAGATACACACAGAGACAAACAAGAGTTTTGTGTTGTGGCCAAAGGATTTCGCACCTTAATGAGAGTGATTAAAAAGCATCAATTTATCTTGTACAGAATTCGGGCCTTTCCTAGGATGATCATCATCAAAGGAAGCATTGACCAAGAGGAGCCCCTTCGGGGTGGATCGGACAACCCATCAGGCACGTCCTTCGGTCAGGGGCGTAAGGGCTCCCTGTATATCATCCAGCCAACCTGGAGGGCGCACGATGGGATTTGTAATCCAGCCTCTCCCCCAAGGTCGCCCATTTGGCAAATGGGACTAATTGCCCGTCTAGTAAGCAATGTCGTTGGTGGCCTCCAGCCTGTCTTCTTCTGGTGAATTTTATATATATTTATAAGGGCGCAGTCGTGTGAAGGCGCCCTGACGCGTGTTTGATGGCCAAGCCGGATCGGCACTCCTTTCCTTCCCCTCCCCCCCCTTTTAAGAGTCAATCCAGATTCTGTCGGTTTGGCTGGCTGGCTGGGCAAGAAGAGAGGGATGGTGTTTGATGGCCAAGCCGGATCGGCTCTCCTTTCCTTCCCCTCCCCCCCTTTTAAGAGTCAATCCAGATTCTGTCGGTTTGGCTGGCTGGCTGGGCAAGAAGAGAGGGATGGATCCGCGGAAAACGGCGTCCCCACGTTCTCTGCCTGCACCTCTGGGGCTCCGGACGTCCCGGGGCGCTCTCACCGGGGCTGAGCCGCCCGGGGAAGGACCCCAGCCAGTGGGGGTAAAGGCGGCGGGGGCTCGCTGCCCCCTTGCAGTCCGTGGATGAGGATCCGGGGCACCAGCGGCCTCTGGAGAGCCGGCGGGGGGGCGCTGGGCCCGCGGTAGAGATACAGGGCGGCCCCGGGGTCCAGGTTCGAGACCAGGCTCTGCGGGTAGAAGTAGGGCGAGGGGAACATCCGTTGCAGGGCTGAGTAATTCCCCGCTTCGGCCAGCAGCTCCAGCCCCACCGCCGTCTGCCTTTTCCACTTGGTCCTGCAGGGGTGGAGGACAGAGAGCCATCAGTCAACCAATCAAGAGAGCAAGAGCATCATCATCATCATCATCTCTGAACTGCAAGAGGCCCTCTGGATCACCAGGTCCAGCCCCTTCCAAGGAGACCCGGGGGGTGGGGGAATCGAGCACCCAACCTCTAGCAACGCAAGAAACATACAGCAGTACTCCCTTATCCGCGGATTTGGTATCTGCTGGTTCACTTCGCCCACCGTTTGGAAATATGAAAAACATTAAAAGAAAAATCCTAGAAATATATATTTAAGAATTGGGAATACTTAGAAGGGGTTGACCCTTCCCATCTTCTGGGCGTAGTGTCTGGCCATTTCACACAGATGTTCTTACAGATGCCGACAGAGCTGGTGAAATTCAGCAGCCTGTACTACGACGCTCACAATTACCATAGCCAGCACTTGTCCCCATGAGCATGGTGGCTGGTGGATGATGGGAGTCGGAGTAGAAAGCATTAGGACATTAGAAACTTTTGCAGGCTCTGCTTGAAGAGCAGCGGGTTGGACGATATGGTCTCCAGAATTCGGTGGCTGGAATACACTCTTCTGATGGGGTTGTGGAAGAGGGAATCCTAGAATCATGGAGTCAGAAGGGGGCCTCAAAGGCCATCCAGTCCAACCCCCTGCTCAAGGCACGGATCCCAATCAAAGCAAGTCAGACAGATAGTAGTCCACTGGAATGCCTCCAATGTTGGAGCACTCATCCCCTCCCGAGGTCCCTAGTTCCATCATCGTACAGCTCTAACAGTTGAGAAGTTTTTCCTGATATTCCTCCGAAATCTGGCTTCGTGTCTCTCGAGCCCATAATGACGTCTCCCGCACTCTGGGATGATCGAGAACGGATCCTGCCCTCTCCTCTGTAGGCCAACCTTCCAAGTCTTTGAAAAATACCATCCTATCTCCCCACCCTGACCACCTCTGGCCGTTGAGCCATATTTTTGAATTTCTCCTCTTATGTTGCTCCCCTACGAAGCGAAGAGGAGATATTTCTGATCGAAGCAGCATTTATCAACCGGAAAAGCTTTCCCCGCCCTTCCTCCCCTCCCATGTGGTATAACCAATATTCTAAATGATCGGCTCGGCTTTTACCTTTTCAAATCAGATCAGGTCTTTTCAAATTGAGATCTAACCAAACTCGGTTTATGCTCTCTCTCCTCCCTGCCCCTCCCCGGGGCAAGTAAAGGCTGCCTTCAGTATTAAAAGCGACATGTTCGCCTGAAGTTCAGCCTTACGCCTGGGGAAATGAGTCGGAAATGGACAAGTGTAAACGCTTCCCTGGTTTCTGTTCAACACGGCAGCGCTCCCCGATCAACACAGAATCATCATCAATGTAACATGAGCTTTGCCACTCCTGGCGTAAAGATGCACTCTGCCAAGGCCTGCCGTCACACATGGCGGTTGTCATCATCCTCGCTCCCCCCCTCCATGCTAGGATGCTTGTGTTGAGATCTCATTAAATGCAGGTGTATCAAGGATCCGACGGCTGTTCTGGCATTAGACAAATGCCACGTGATTTGTGACAGGTGAGATACATATGTAAGGAAAGCTATGGCTGTTGTGTACAAGACATGATATAAAGGAGTGTAGTGCGGGAGGAGAGCTTTGGGGATGCCCTGGGACTGCCAGGAAGACCAGTAAGGGGGTCCTAGATCAAATCAGGCCTGAATCTCTCTCTCTCTCTCTCTCTCTCTCTCTCTCTCTCTCTCTCTCTGGAGGCAAAAAATGATGATATGGAGGCTGACCTACTGAAGCTACTGAGATATCCAGCAGTTCATGGAGGAACTGGGGAATATGAAATGCGGAATTCAGTTAATGGACACTTCAATGTGTCAGCATGTAAAAGGACAATTCACACCTTCATCTTAGCTCCTGTTACTGAACACTTGAAACAAAAGAGGGAGAAAGGAGAGGACAATTCTATGCCTATCTTTTATCAGGGGGCGTATCAAAGCAGCCCCCAAAGTGACACTTTGACTGTAACTCTTAACTTGAAAGCAACCAGTCCACTTCCTACCCTGAAAGTTACGCAGATTTGTTTGTGGGAAATCGAGCAAGTCAAGAAGATGTCTTTTGTCCTGATATGACAAAACATGAAAGGGGATTAAGATGATGTTGCAACAGGTGCATAAATGACCCATTTATTTGCATAAAAAGGAATTAGAAAAATCAGGTAGTTCACCTAGCATGATCCCTGAGGAAACAGTGTCCCTCCCCCCGTAGATTTAAAACTATGGGAGTTCAAGAAGAACCTCCACCTCCAAGACATCTCTACATTAGAGGGGCTGGTGTCTGGGATAGTTAAAACGGAGGTTCATGGAAAGGGAAGTTGCTACCTTTCTGCTTAAACCCACTAATCTGGTTTAAGCAACAACACTGGAATTAAGTGCTCATTTAAATCATTTGGTTGTTTGGGACTTCCAACTCAATTATTCTACAATTTGATGAGAATGCTAGGAGAATGCAGCAGGAGAAGAGGAGGATCTGGATGTGAGATGGACTGACTCAATAAAAGAACCAGGTCTGTTTAGGTCTTGAGCTTGCAAAACTGGTCCAGGAGTGTTTTCCTGGTAGGACTTCTTTGGAGATCATAAAGTTGTAAGATAGTCATCACTCAGAAGCGACCTGATGGCACATCATAACAAAGCGGCCAAGCTAGACTGGGGGTGGTGTGGGCTTGTTGGGGAGGTGGAGGGGGGGTGGGCTCAGTCTCGGGCCGGCCCGCCACCTCAAATCAATCCCCCCTCCAATTTTCCCTTCTGCCGCCAAAGCGCTTCAAGACCTATTTTCCTGCCTAAATTATTCATCGTCATAATAATAATTGTGTAATTACTGTAACTGCTGTTAATTATTGATGCCTGAAGCAGTAATTGGTATTTATTATTAATGGAGTGGCGTGTTATGTGCTGTTGTGTGTTTAGCTGGAAAATGGGTGGGTTTGACCCCTCCCAAAAAAACCTCCATGCCCCCCCACCTCTGTTTTCTCTCTTCATCCTTTCTAGTTTATTTTTTTAATGTTGCTTCTCATTCAAGTCTGAAATATTCTCAAATCTCTGAAAATACAGGGTGTTGTGCAGAATCAAACGTCTGGGAATAAATAAATGCAGTTGACGGGTGGAGATTTAACACAAAACATGCAGTGTCACTAAATGGAAGGAAGGAAGGAGTGCCAACCTAAAGCCATGGATTTAATTACTTCGTTTGCTTTAAATCTTGCTAAGACCACATTGTGTTTATGTGTGCGCACATGTGTATTTTTGCAAACGGCACCACTGTGAGGTACTTGTGGGCCCCTCCCCACCCCAGTTGGCCAGGATGGCCCACAATTTTCATTAAAAAAGAAACAGAGTTTGAGATTAGTGAAATTTAAAGTGTAGTTGAAGCATTACCAAAAGCAGATCGAAAAAAAAATTAAAATTTAGTAGGTTGTCTACATGTGTGTATAGCTAAATAGAGGATGCAGCTATAACTTACTCTTGTGATCTAGACTCTAAAGTATACATTACAGTAGGGCTCCTTTATCCGTGGATCAGTATCCACGGATTCACTTATTCACAGTCTGTAAATATTAAAACTATTAAAAGAAAAACTCCAGAAATAAATATTTGTAAAGGTGAAGTTACCAAAACTGGCCACTAGAGGGGGATCAGAGACCATAGTATAGTGTTCACTATTAAAATTGCATTTGCTATAATTCACGTTTTTCAGCATCTGCAGGGGGTGGGTAGGGTAAGTTTGGAATCAATCCCTCGCAGATATGGAGGTCTTGATATCCTTTATCACTTCGCAGGGCTTACAAGCTAAGTTAGATCTTTACGGAGTGATTTGACCAATTTCCCCACCTCCAATGGGTTTCCATGGCCGAGTGGGGATTCGAATCCAGACCTCTTGAGTCCTAATCCAGTTCTTGGTCCATAAGACCACGCGGATTTTGGCTGAGGGCCAATCGATGATGATGGAGCCAGAAAAGGGGAAAAAATCACCGGTGAAATCAGACTTGAAATAGCAAGGGGGCTGCCAGACCAAGAATATGATTTTAGGACGAATGCAAAATGCAGATTATTTTCAGATGGAAACTTAAACCTGCCCCAATCTCCTTTCAAGTGTTCTTGATTTAACGACTTCGTTTGGCGTTGATGGGAAGAGCCTTCTGTCTTCGAGGGCTGGCTTGGCGAACCCTTAGCCGCCTAGAGTGGTCTGGTAGTCCAGAGAGCCGTCTGCTGGTTCACTTCGAGGGCTGGCTGTTGAACCCTTAGCCGCCTGGAGTGGTCTGGTAGTCCAGATAGGCAGGATAAAAATCAAATAAATAAATTAGCAAGGAGGACCTTAGCAAGAGATCCATCAGAGATGGGAGCTATGTTAGGCCGTAGTGGCTGGGGGGAAAAAAATAGGCCGCTTGCCCATGAGGACAGATCCTGCTAGCCTTCACTGTAGACAAGAGATTCGGATCTATCTTTTCTCCACCTCAGTCTAAAGTGTAATTTAATTTTTAAAAAATTGGGGTTACTGTCTCCTGCTCTCACCACCTTGGAGCAGAAAAGGCAAGACTCCTCACCCTTCCAAAAAAAAAAAAGTTAGACAAAGTTTATGCTTTCTAAAAATGGGAAATAATTAGAGCCAGGAAGCGCTGCTGCTTATTTTTGTAATATTCACCAAGAAAAGACACTTCTTGATTCTGATGGCCTTTAGATTCTGGTGCTCTGGGGCAGAAACTCTGTCCTATTTATTGCCATGGGGTCAAGAGTTACAATGACCCCCTTTATCTTTCCATTTCACCCCATTTCTGCCTGGCTAGGCATTTATTTTCATCCCCTCTCCATATGCTAGATGACAGCAGCCGATACCAGCTCCGATTTGCAATAATTAAGGAAATAATGCTAATAGTGATGGTTAGGGAAGAGGGGGGGCAGAAAAAGCCTTTCTACCGCCCATCAATATTTGAATAGGACAAAGAAAGAGGAGGAGTTGTCATAATGATGATGGCGGATGATTAATATTAATACAGCAATAAGCGTGAGGGTGCTAGCAGCCATATTAGTAAATAAATATCAGCAGCCATAATGGCAATAATAATTAATAATGCATGTGGCTAAGTGAAAGTGGGACACACAGTTGATGATTAGGATAAGAAATATAATAATTTGTTGTTTGTTGTGATTTCGGTGGCGCTGCCCAAAGCCAGGATTCGGCTTGGGTGCCCCAGAGGACTGTGCTATGTAACCTGTGAAGCCCGTACACGTGTGAATGGGCTTCCCCCACCCCCGTCTCCGTTTTTCATTGATTTCAGTGGGTCCCCTTTAAGGTCTTGATCCAGCGCAATCTGTGGAAGGGGTCCTTTAAGAGACCTGCCGTTTATACGTAACAGCATCTCCACGTGCGCACTGAACGTGCAGCCTGGCGCTGTGCGAAGCGCGTCTGAAGAAAGCGAGAATTCTGACACGTGTTTTGTCCCGTCTCGGTTGGTTTTCTTTTGCTTTAAGAGCCAGGCTAAAGGGGTGTCTGTGTGAATCCATAACCGTAGAGAGAACCGCCCAGTAGACTCAGTGTTAGCAAATGGCATAGATTCACACGTTCTGTTGCGTGTTAAGGGCGCAGAGAAGGGTTGTGATTAGGCGCAGGAAATAGCCAAAACGCGGAGCTCTTCGATATTTAATACTAAGTTTCAGAAAGGCTGCTACGGGGGAGGGAAAACGCGCTCGGATTGCGAGGCTCCGGAAGTTCCAGATCTAGAAAAGGATTCGGGTCTTTTAGAACGTCTGGAGGTGCTCAGTAGCCATCACGTGTATCCTCAGCTTCTCCGAAGCGGTGGCTTGAGGCAGAGCAGGGGGAGGCGATACAGATGGGGGAAACAGAGGGGAGGAAAGGGTTAAACACTCATTTCCACCTTGACTAGTTCTCGATCAAATCCACGTGTCTCAGGTTGCACGTCTGTAAGGAGGAGGGAAGAGAGTCACGTGGCACAGGGGCAAGGAAGGGACTCACCGGATTCATATTTGGATGCAGATCTTAAACGCTTCCGTCCTCCTACTGTTCTAACAGTTAGGAAGACTTTTTTCTGATATTCTTTTTGTAAGACAAACAAGATTTAAGGACCTTTATGGATCCTTTTCCAGGAGAAAGGCAGGATTAAAAATATATATTTTTTTGATTTTTTAAAAATTAATTAATATTTTAATCAAGGAGATGTGTAGGCAGATGTCACCTTTGGAAGGGTCTAAAAGCTTTCATTGGACCACTTGATGAAGAATCCTATGTTGCTGGGAAGTCTGCAGTGCTGAAGAGTTCTGTGATTCATGAAGCCTCGCCTGTGTGTGAGTGATTCCTTGCATCCGAAGCAATTACACCCTATGGGTGAAGCGTTATGGGTGAAGCGTTATTGGTGAAGGGTTGTGTTTCGTGGGAAGTCACAACGAACAAAGTTTGCCTTTCACGTGTAATTCGGATTAATGGCCCCCCCCCGTTGCGCTTTTACACAACCCTTAAATCAAAGCAGGTTGTGAACCACCCCGAGTGACCAATGGTCAGATCGGGGGAATAAAACGCAAATTAATTAATTAATTAATTAATCTCACAACCTCTCCACCTGCACATGTGAACAGTAAATTGGGAGTAGGTGTAAACATTAAATCTTCAAAAGGACCAAACACCTTTTCCTAAAAACAGCGGGAGGTGCTGAATCAGGAGGGAGGGAACAGCACTTAATCTGAATCCCTGCCCATTAATCCGAATTCGGGTAATTAACCTTGAGTTCATGCCAACGAATCCAAATTCAGGCCAATTATTTTGATTTGGGGGTGGGGGGCAATTACTTTGAATTCGTACCAGTTAGTCCGAATTCGGGGCAATTAATCCAAATTGGTGCCAATAAAGGCGAATTCACGTATATATTAATCCAACTTCAGGGGGCCGTTAATCCGATTTCGGGGCCATTGATCCGGATTCCGGGGTGTGTGTGTGTCCTTAATCCGGATTAAGGGCTGTCCACACGGCCTCCGGCTTCCCTGCCACCGCGTCTCCCCCCTTACCTCCTGTTCTGGTACCACGTCTTGACTTGGGTGTCGGTCAGGTTGAGGGAGGCGGCCAGCTCCATGCGATCCTGAACGCTCAGGTATTTCTGCCGCTCGAAGCTGCGCTCCAGTTGCGCCAGCTGGTGGTCGGTGAAGGCGGTTCGGGCTTTCCGCGGTTTCTTCAGCCGCACCGGCGGAGACTCCCTGGAGCTGGAGATCTCGCGGTCCCCTTCCTCTTTCACTGAGCCGGGCAGGGAGAGGGGGGGAAAAAGAGAGAGGCTGGGTGAGAGAGAGGTCGCCAGGCCACCCAAAAACCCAGGAGAACCGGAGGTTCGGGGGAGAGAAGAAGACCAGAAGCCACCCCGGATGGGCACGAACTAACTGAGATGATGCTCTCTCTCCGCCCACGTGGGAAGGGCAGGCCGGATCCTGCCCGTTTTGGGGACTCGTGCCTAGCCTCCCTTGAATTCCGTGGGGCTCCCTTTACGCCCCATCGGTTGTGGGTCGAATGAGACCTTGCAATCTTGATCCTAGAAGAATAGGCACATTTTGGTTCGTACAGTCCTATTGTCTGTGAGCCTTAAGCAAGGATGAGTACTAATAAATAAATAAATTACTACTAATAATAATTTATTTATTACTACTACTACTATTATTATTATCATCACCATCATTATCATTATCATCATTATCATTATTATTATCATCATTATCATCATCATCATCCACTTATAAACACAGCTACGGTGGCTGGAAACCATCTCAACGGAGTGCCATGGACCTCCATGAGGACTGTACTAATAAATAAATAAATTACTACTAATAATAATTTATTTATTACTACTACTACTATTATTATTATCATCACCATCATTATCATTATCATCATTATCATTATTATTATCATCATTATCATCATCATCATCCACTTATAAACACAGCTACGGTGGCTGGAAACCATCTCAACGGAGTGCCATGGACCTCCATGAGGACTAGCAACTTAACCTGCAGGTTCAGCTCTGCCTCGCGGGAGGGGAGGCGTGTATTCACACGCTTCTTTTTGAAATGACGGCTATCGTAGCCGAAGAGGGGGGAGAGGAAAATCTAGCGGGGGGGCCCCAGAAAGGGAAGGCGAGCCCCCCAGCCTCCCAAGAGACACGTGGGGACGCGTGAGGTGTAGCCCACATTCTATAGGATTCCAGCGATCCAAAATCAATCGGTAAATTGTGTTTGCGGGAGGGGGGGCGTTCTTGCCAAATGCTCCACCCCAAATCAAGTGAGCTGGGGGAGAAAAATCACTGAAAAAAATAAAATAAAGCAGGCCAAAAAAAGTGAAATTAACATGGAACGGCACAAGAACGCTGGTTCTGCGCACTGCGATCCTATGCGAGTTCTGTTGAAGGGCGGCCAGATCTTAGGCGCCATCCTGTACAATATTCCTTTTACTCTGAAGGGAATGCAGCAGGAAGGAGGGCTCAATTTGGAGCATTTTTCCTCGCAAGGCGGATCCCAACCTGGGCGGGTAACCCTCTGCTCGCTCAGCACCCTATATAGGATTGCGCCTGTTAGCTCTGGATCACGCAGAGAGCGAAAATCGGGATGCCCGCTCGTCATCCGAGGGAAATGATTTGATTTAAAAAAAAAATGTCTTATACAATAAAGCAAGTTGAACTCTGCAGAGCTATGGGAGAAAAGGTCAAAATTCAGCACGGGGGGGTGGAGGCCCTTCTTAGGATGGTGACTAAAGAGCTTGCGAGATCCACAGAGCTCTTTGACTAAGGGTTGCAGAAAAACAGGTTGCAGAAAAAGGAAAAACAGAGGCGGATGGGAATGACACTGATCCGAGGAACTTTTTCAGTACTAAATCTTCTCTGCCTCGTCTCGCTCCCCCCCCCCACTTTTATACCACCGAATGCAGAGCCCTGGATGTCTCGAAAGCTTGCACACTTGGTGGCTTTGCCTCCCTCTGCATTTTGGATTTGTTTTAAAGAGCAGAATCACGACATGGAGAACTGTATTTTAAAATCGGGTCAGAACACAGGAGGTAAATAAGTAAGGAAACCAGCTAAGAATGGGCAGCCAGTGTTGGGATTTATTCACGAGTAACGGCGGCCGTTACTTCAAGGAAAAAGGAACGCGGTAGGCACCGTTACCCGAAAAATAAACTCCACGACATGCTACTCGTTTGGAAATCGAGCCCAAATGAAAGAGAATATTCTGATTTTTAGGAAGAAACCGTGGAAAATAAAGAGCGGACGCTACTTCCCATTTTAGGGAAGCATCAGTCTCTACAAATTCATCTTTAATTCACATATTATGCCACCCCTGCTTTAAAGTTTTTGTAACGGAGATACATACATTCCGAGATTTTTTTTTAAGCCGAAATTACTGATTGCCTGAGTGAGGAATGGGATACTTTTTCTCAAAGCGAAGGGGGAAACTAAAAAAAAATTTAAATAAAAATAAATTAAAGACAATTGAGTTTTTTGGGGGGGGCATAAGAAACAGAAAATTCGAACGGATTCCCCCCAGCAGAAGTAAAATAAATGTCTTGTTTGAGTCTTTTTTGGGGGGACGGGCGGAGGGCCCTTATAATAGCCCGCATTGAAAACACTAGGTGCCACGTGCTACCTGCCTGAGGACCCGATCCAAAGGGAAATTGCTCTCTTTTGAGAGCCATGGCTACTTTGGGGAGGTGGGTTAAATCTTATTGAGGGCAATAGCCCTAATTTCTGCTAAACCACCGTCACCAAGCATCCACTCATAGGGTCCGATCCAGTCTATATTTTGTAGGGAATAAATCCCCCTGCGTTGAGTCAGGTTTACTCTGAAGTAAAGTATCCTGGGTTCACATCCCTGTGCATTAAATGTGGATCTGGTCCACTCAAATGGTTAAATATCCCTGAATTAAACGGATTATATTTCCTGATGGGGCCCCGATCCTAGGCACATTTACTTGCCAGAAAGTCTCTGGACTTTGGGGAATTTACTTCTAAGTCGGCATGCATGGATTTTCTACCCTTCCCCTGCTGCTTTCCATTAAAACGTGTTTTAATCACTTCTTTTATTCCATTATTCTCTTGATGGGTAGGACGGGGGGCGAGCCCTGTTAGTCCCCAAAGTTTTTCATAACCTGGACTTCGAAAGAAAAAAGAATTCCAAGGATATATTCAAACATTGGCTGCCTTCAGAAAAAAATAAATAAATCTGGCTTAATTTGCCGCTTGGCGCCATATGGGCAGAGAAAAATCTTAACTAACGGATCAGAAGCAAGAATAGAAAGAAGTCTCACTAAATAATTATAATTGAGGGTCTTTTCATTTGTATCCTTGTGTTTTCCTCCAACAACTCCTCTGAATGTTTATTTTTTTATGCTTTCACAACAGCCTTGCCAGGTAGGGTTTACGCTAGAGTCAGCCAATACCCTTCTTGGCCTACTCTAGGGTTTACGCTAGAGTCAGCCAATAAGCTTATCCATGATTGAAACTAATTCCTCTTTTTAAAAAAATAGTCTCTTCCACTACCCACTATGCCATATCCTCTCCTCAACAGGATTGCTTATTATTATTTTTTTTTCAAGCTGGAGTAAAAGGGATCTCTTGGAAGGACTGGTCTTCCCTTAAAAAATTAATTAAATGAAGTAATTTTAAAGGGAAACAGGGACATGCAAACTTTGCATTTAGCACAAATCCCCAAGCCGAAACCTCGGTTTCTTTCGTACCCAGGAAAAGAGAAACAAACTCAGCAGAAATATATTAAGTTTTCTGCCCAGTGGATCCCAAAGGATGTTTGGGATGGAGCTTGGATCATTGCAAGGAGAATAACTCGTGTGAATCCTCCGACACCCTGAGACCATGTCTGTTTTGGGGTTCCCAGAAACACTGAGGTCATCAACGCTAGCCAAAAAGAGGCACAGCGGTTTGGCATACTCGTCAGATTTAAGAAACAAGGGAGGTTAAATATTCTGCTATTCAATCTCTCATTCTCTTTCTCTTTCTGATCCTCTTCCTCTTCTTCTTCTCTAACCACCCATGCTTTCTTTATTATGCGGCCATAGACCCAAGTTAAAGCAATACAGCAATAGGGAATAATGTTCCAGATCCTTAACCCCCCCAACTCCATTTTTCGGGTTCCTCCTTTCCCCAATTTGGATTTTTTTTTAAATTTCTGTTAATAAAACCGATCCCTTTGATTCGGTTTCGTGTTGGATGGCGTGTAGACAGCTCTCCGGCGGGGGGTTCCCAACCCGGCGCAAAGCGAAAGCAGGCAAACCGGTCTTTGCAAAGACAGAGATATGTGGCTCCGATATTTCTCTTTTCTTACATTCCCCCCCTGGCCTCGCTCTTACCTCCTTTATCTCTGCTTTCAAAGAGCTTATGTTCATTTATATACATGTAATTTTTTTTAAAGGGGGCAAGGTTCGATTTATATAAATTGGACGCATTAGTGTTTTTTTTTCCCCTCTCTCCCTTTTCTTTTAAATCGGAGGTTTATGGTAAATTTCATTGTGGGAAGATTTAGGAGCGACACGGCTCATCCTCCACGCGCGTTGATTTCTCCTCTGTAGAAAGACAATAATCCACTTAATTGAGCCACCAGGGAGGGCGAAACCCTTTCAAAGAGCAACGGAGGCGTCCGAAAGCAAAGGAAGATCTCTTAAACATGAGACGCTCTTTCATGGAAGACGCGAACGAGGGAAAGGGGGGGGGAGAGGGAAAAAAAGGGGGGAGGTCGGTCGTGGAATTAGTGGCCTGAGACCTCAGTGGATTTTAATTTCTTTGTTTTTTTTGGCAGGAGTTCTTTTAAAAGAAAACAAAAGCGAAAACTCCCCAGGAAAAAGTAGGACAGAGGGGAAAGGAAGGGAAAGAGGGATAAAGTAGAAAAATAGGGCAAAAGGGAAAGAGCGAGAAGGAGAGAAAGGAAGGGAAAGCGAGCCAAGGAGAGATCAGATAAAAGAGGCCAAAGGAGTGGGACAAGCCAGAAGGAAGGGAGAAGAGAGAGGTCCGGAAGGGAAGGAGGCTGGGGGGCAGAGTTAAGGTTAAGGAAAAGTGGAGGAGGGAAAGAGGGCGGTAGCGGAAGGAGGGGGAAAGCCAAGGAGGAGGAAGGAGGACGAAAAGAGAGGGAAGGAGGCGGAAAGAGGACAAAATTGAAGTGGCCAGAGGAGAGAAAGGGATGAGGGGGCAGGAGAAGGAGAAGGAGGGGAGGCGCACCCAGGCAGAGAGAGGGAGGGAGGGAGGGAGGGAGGAAGGAAGGAAGGAAGGAAGGAAGGAAGGAAGGAAGGAAGGAAGGAAAGCCTAGATGATCAGGGAAAGGAGGAGGACAAAATTCG